CCATTGAAATTTAATTTACTTCTTGCTAGATTGCTGTGGTTTCTGAAGTTGATCAACTGAAAAATTTACAGAGATCAGAACAGGCTCACTTTCTTGCTCCCCTGGCTCCCCACCAGTTTGCTTTTCTCTCCCAACAACTTGTTTTTGTTTACACAGTTAATCAGGACTCTGCATTAATTTTGTTTGTCAATTATTAGATTGTAGATGGAGATGTAGGCAAGCTGCAACCAAACTTCTGGGTGAGCAATTCTATGACCTTGCTAAGAATGCAAGACAGCACTTCCACAGGCAAGTCGTTGATCTGTGAACTGTGTGACAGTGGTGACTCAGGTGTGTCACGTTGCACCAGTTGTAGTGTTTTCATGTGTGAGTTTTGTGTAACTGCACATAAAAGGATCAATACTTTCAAGGGTCACGAGATTTTATCCCTTGAGGAGGTGAAAGCAGTTGGTTCTCAGGCCCTCTCCAAGCCAGCTTTTTGTGAAAAACATAATGGTGAGACACTGAAACTGTTTTGCCAAACTTGCCAGAAAACAATCTGTCGAGATTGTACCATTGTTGATCACCGTGAACATAAGTATCATTTTATAGCAGATGTTGCTGTTAAGGAAAGAAATGCTGTGCAAGCTGTTCTTCAACAAACTAAAGTCAAGCAACGTGCAGTAGCAGAAGGCTTAAGAGCTGTGCAGACGATGAACAGTTGTGTCCAGAAGAAAGTCACCGAAGTTAACAAACAGGTGGATTGCTTTTTTGATGAGCAAGTTAAGGCACTGGAGTATTACCGTGCAAATCTAAAGCATGAAGCAATAATGCAAGGCGAATAAAAAGTCAAACAACTTGAAAGCCAAGCAGAGATGCTCTCCTTACTTTTGATACAGATGGGAAGCAGTATTGAGTTTGCTGATCGTGCCATAGCAGACGGAGATGATGTCAAGCTCTTGTCTTTGAAGAAACAACTAATCCAGCGACTTTCCCAACTTAATTCATCACAGAACCAGCTGAAACCCTGCAAGGATGATTATGTCAAGTTACAAGTGCATCAGGCAATTTGGGACATTGGGAAAATGGCATCCTTATGTTACTTCCCCCCTGACCCACAAAAGTGCACTGTTTGCTTCACAGGAGGAGAAGAAGGGGTCATGTACCAGACCTTCACTGGACAGTCAGTGGATTTCCATCTTATTATCAAAGATAAAATGGGGAGCAAAGTAACAGCAGGTGGCCATCAAGTCCAGGCTCAAGTCATTTTCAACAGTGAAGCTGTTGAGGAGAGACAGGAAAAACTTGCAGTACAAGACAACAGTGATGGGTCGTATAGCTTTTCTTATCGTCCCAGAGATGTAGGTCTTGTAACTCTAACAGTGCTAGTTGAGGGTCAAAGTGTGGGTGGAAGTCCCTTTAATTGGCAAGTTAATCCAGAACTCAGTCTAGAGAGAAAAAAGAAGGAAAAAAGGGCAACCAAAACAAAACACCACCAGCTGCATCACATTACTCCTGTAACGAAACAAAGTGACCAAACTTTTACAAAGGGGATGCATTCTTGGAAACTCCAGCTGGTCTCATACAGTCCTGGTCAGAAAAGAAATGGACAAGAAATAATTATTGGTGTCCACAATTATTATTATGATTGTTTTGATGCTTATGGTGATGGTTATTCCTATCCACCAAAAAGTGCATTTAAGTGGTGCTGGTGTTTCAATTCAGCAAACCAAAATTTTCGTCGATCAGATGGTCAACCTTCCTCTATCACTTCGGTGCAAGACAGAGACATCTTCACAGTTTTTCTAAATCTTGATGCGAGAAAACTCATTGTCTACAGTGCCCGTAGTAAACAAGCTGAATTGTTTACTGGGGTTGAAGGGAAACAATTCAGTCCTTTGATCTCACCTTCACAAGAATTTTTGAGGTCAGGCAATGCGCATCTAACTCTTAATGTCCAGTAGACTGTTTAATATCAGACAGGAGAGTTATATCTGGACATGATAGGAAAATGGGAAGGAGTTAAGGAAGGAAAAAAATATGGCTATATACTCTCATATTGAACACTTAGAAATGACGGATACATGTACAACAGAAATGCATACCGTTGCATAGAGTACTTCCTTTTTATAAAATTACAATGCAGCTACTTGAATCAGGCCACCTAGAATAAAAATAACCAATCAAAATGTACACCAAGAACAATGGACTGGTAGCTTTCCCATGATGGCAGGTAATAAGGGTCTGGTTTATATCAATATGTAAATGCTATTGACTCCTCTGTGTTATATACACTCTTAGAAATTCAGTCCTTGATGGTGAAAAATTTAGCTTGAAAACCTCATTTTGCAACAAGTAGACTGAAACTGTTGAAAAGTGTACATAATTTTGGATTGAAACTAACCAATCAGCATAGTAGCAAAGTTTCTTGAGAGGTTCACAACACTTTGAACTTTGTTAGGTTGTTAATTTTGTTAAGAACCATTGTTCATATTCTTCAATGTTATTACAGTGAAACCTGTATTAAACGAACCCCATATTAAGTGGACACTGGCTTAAGTCCTAAAATTTTCTTCCCACATTTACTGTAAAATAAGCCTGCTTTCAGCGGACACCTCTATTAAGCCATTTTGTTACTCAAAACCTGCAATAAGCGGACACTTCAAGAGGTCATTTTACTTCTAAAGGTTCAGCTGAGACTCCCTAGCATTGTTCAGCGATATTGTTTTAAAGCTAAGTGATTAATCCAGATTGATGCATTGATTGACTGGACATTGTACTATGAGCAGTCTTAGCTAGTCTTTGATCTTACACTGTGTTACCCTGTTGTACCAAAGGGTTGATAATTAACTAATATATAGATTTAGCCAAGCCTAAAAGCAGAGCTCCTGATTGCAATTACTGACAATAAAGGAAAAAGAGAATTATTTTTTCTTATTTCAGAAACTCAAAAAACGATCAATTGTGAGCATGTAATTGTTCAGCGTGTAGTTTTGCTATTCTTTCCAGTTCCATTTTAACAAACTATACCCAACAAGCCTAACCAAGATTGAAGAAATTATGTACGCAATATATCAGGGACTTTCCAAGAGACAGTTGTACAAGGAATATGTCAGAAGAAATCAACAACGTGCCAGGGGTTAATTTGCACCAAAATTTTGCCTTTGCGAGTACTCCTTCCTTCTCCTCCAGAGAAATAACGTGACTTGAGCCTGCGATCCAATTGGTAAACCAGTAACTGGTCAGCAGTCAACTTTGAAAAAACACGCAACTTCAATGAGCTCTAAACATGAGCCCGTGATATAGTCACGTGATACTGGTCAGTGGATAGCTTGTTGTGACAGCTGTCAATTAACAATAGGGTGGATGCCCAAAATCAAAGATGTAGCTATGGTAATGGTGCTACTCTCTTAGTT